GCCACCTTAGGTGTACATGGCTGGCGCCTTAGCCGGTTGAGCTATAGGCGCCGAGCCCTCCCTCCCTTTCTTACTTGAACAAAATTATTTTTTGTGCTCATGCAGCCACAGATCCTGGTAGTTAAAATTTCTCTTTCCCATGTGAATTTTTATATGTTTGTGTAAGAATTTGTATATGTGCCACTTTGTGCACAAATCTATAGCTGATCCCAGAGGTAGGAGGGGAAAAGAAAATCCGTGCTACACTGCTAATGCTTTGAGCTGGAAGAACATGTTTTGGGTGGAATTTGGCCAATATTGGAAGGAAGGAAGGTGGTCATCCTGGTCACCTATGGTCATTGAGGCAAACCCAGAAAGTACCCTGCCCGGAGCCCCAAGAACATCTATATTCTGGCCCACCTCTTGCCCCAGAAGGTTGTACTAGCTTGTGTGTTGCACAGCTTAGGACCTATGCAATCAACCTTTGACCCTAGGACTCAACTAAATGTCCACAGGACTAGTTGACCGATAACCACAGCTGTCTACTTAGAGTCACTGGGAACTCAGCCTCCCTGAAGAAGCTCTGGGCCTCTAATGACACACCCAGAGCCAGGCTGGCTCCCTCCCTGGTACTTTCCCCAGTAGGGCTTCAGCTCCAGAAAACGGAGTAGAGCGAGAAGAGGTGGGTTATCTAGCCTAACTGCTCCCCCTAAGCTTAGCCAAGAGGATCTACCCAGAGCATCTGGCTTAGCGACTTGAGACCAGAGGTAGCTGAGTGAGCCATCAATTTTGTCCCTGCCTGTTGGTGGTGAAGTTTGAATGGTGTTTGGCCATTCAGGGCTCCCCTTGCTGCCTCTAAAGCCTCTGTGTGGGAGGACTGCCCTCTGTTGGTCCTAGAGCAGGACGGAGCAGCAGTCCCCAGAGCCACTTTTAAGTTGAGTATGCCCCCCTCCAAATCAACTTTAAGTTGGCTACTCTATGGGGACCGCCAACTAGAGTCAAAGCAACTTTAGTCATCAAAGAGATCAAGCCTGCTTTCTCTCTGTGTGTGTGTGTCTCTCTCTCTCACACACACCCCTTCCCTCTCATTCAGAGCCACTCTCAGAAACAGAAACCTACCACTCTGTATCACCTCCTGTCCCTCCCCACTCATCCCCATCCCTCCTCCTCTAAACCAGTTAAAACCCCAATCCAGGCTCCCACACCTTGTTTAATCACACAATTGCTATCACACCTGTGGGCACATCCACACCATTGTTTGGCCTTCCCAAGGCCAG